GATGGCTCGCGATCATTCCCTCCGTGCCACACAAACTCGCACCAGTGATCCTCCTGTTCAATACGAAAAATCGGCCGATCACAGTGCATCTGTTGTGATCGCATCCCCTAATTCCTTCGTTTTCGAATCAAAGCGTAGTACTACAACAGAGAGGAATGAGTTCCTTTACAAGCACCGCTTTTTGGCAATTCTCGGACTACGCAACCTTTTCATCTCTACATTTTTTCGTAATCAGGCGTCACTTATTTTCAAACTCAATAGCAACAAATGCGCGTCCACTATAAAGATGTTAAGCTTTGGGAAACCTGCGTTATAATCCTCTTTCTGTCATGCGTTTGACTTTGTTTTGTACGTTGCTTCTACTCTTAAGCACATTTAAATACTTTGCTAGTTTTTGCCACTTGGCGATTGTAACTTGTCTTTCGCCTTTTCTTCCTTATTACCTTCAGTCCACAATGTCAGAGGGTTAACTGCGATTTTTTTTTGCTTTCTTCAATGTTCATGTAGCAAATATTTGTATTTGATCGCTGTTCCCTGTAGCGGCATGATTTTGGAAGTGTGGGTTATATGGACCGGTAATACACATAATTGAGCAGGAAATTGAATAGGATAATAATGTCTAATTTGGAGCGCTTGAATAATGCACCTCTAAGTCAAGGTGCCTTTCGGGTTTTCATCACGACGAGACTGGACGTTAGTGTGGTGCAACATTTTGCGTGCTCTCGCAGTCGACATATATATATATATATATATATATATATATATATATATATATATATATATATATATGTTTGGCTGTTGTTTGATATCCCTGGTGTGGCTGCGCTTGATGTGCATGTTGACAACGTGCCTACCTGTCTATTACCCACTACCTCGTCCATACTGGCTCCAGGAGACAGTTGGTCGTTGCTAGTAGGGACGGGGTGCACGGTCCTTGTGGCCGTGTTGGGATCAAAGAGTGGTTCCATGCACTCAGTGTGGAGCGGACTACGGTCCAGCCACCGCCTTGTGTGCGCTTGATTCCCCAAATACAGTGTGCTTGTGTTTGCCTGTGAAGGAGTGTGGGCGAGCTCCGTTGATGAAACGTGGTTCCCATCCGCATGCCTCCCGGTCTTATTCCTTCGGGTTTACACTGGATATGGGGTGTGTGGTTGGAGCTGTGGGTGGTGCAGCGCAAGCCATCCATGGTCCCTCTGTAGGCGCAGGCGTCCTGTGGCTTGCCACAGTGACAGGCAAATCCGAAACCGGATGCCGCCAACCATGTATGTATATATTGGGAATCGAAGGCGGTTGATCGTGGTTCATGGCGCGATCTAATCACGAAGGCAGTTGCTGAAGTGAGGGAGAAAGCCCTCATGCATGCAGAGAAGAAGCGGCAAGTGCGGAAGCGGCAAGCACCAATGAATTGTACTCCATCGACATCGAGCGCATGGTTCTGTACAACATGCGGTCGCGAGTGCCTTAGTCAGGCAGGCCTAGTGAGCCATGAGAGAGGTCACTCGGGACCACTGCCGAAGCGACGACGGGTCCCACAGTGAATGTAGGTAACACCGGCACAGCGTTTGTAGGCACGATGAATTCGATTTACTAACCGCGTGCTTGCATGCTAAGTCTCTTTATTTCAGGTGGTGGGTTTACAGTTTGTACCTTAATGCTTTTCTTTCACATATAAATATCTCCCTGTACTCTATTCCATTAACTTGCACACATCGCCTAAGCCAAATGTATTCGATTTCCATGACATTTTTGTGTTCATGGCATTCCAAGAACTTCTGTCCTGTCCTCGTGCACTTAGCTAGGATTTGTTTGTAAACAACTTACTACACATGCTATGTAATTACGGTTTATATCACCGTTTCCTTATGCATTAATCGAGTTTTTCTCTTCTCTCTTTTTCTCTCCCTTTCTTTCTCAAGTGATTGGCTGTTGTTTGAAATCCCCGGTGTGGATGCGCTTGATGTGCATGTTGACAATCAGTGCAGTGACAATCAAATCCGAAACCGGATGCCGCCAACCAGATATATAGTGGCTTAGTTGACGTGCCTCGATTGCAGATTTTTCATCTTCTTTGCTTATGTATTGCGGCAAAATAGCTGCATCGTTTCTTACCTCCAGCTTAGGTGTATGATGTTGATGACCAACAAAGAGAGTCCAGCTTGACACAGTGAATCAACCTTAGTTGTCATCGCCGAATTCACTACATGAGAAAGACTGTTCAGAAGATTCCGATCAACCAACGATGACCCAAACATGGAGTTGAGAACGATACCCACTCCTGCTCCGCCAGAGCTTGCCGCATCATCGTATTCGGGTGCGTGCAACCAATAGCGGGAGGATAAGTCGAATGAAATGATTTCAACAACCACATGAGGGTCATTGATCCAAGTTTCGGACACGCAACACACGTCAATAGCCAGAGTGTCCGAAGTGAATCCGAGTGCAGCCTGTTGACCTATTTGTTGAAAATTCGAACGCTGAACAACGTCAACGAATCGGGACAGCCTGGCCTTATAAGGTACTGTTGCCGACAGGCGTCCAGTGGATGATGCAAGAAGATAGCTTCAGACGGTAGAACTGAGTAGCATTACGACTACTGTCACTCAGACTGGAAATTATAGAAGGTGGGTTGTTAATGATGGTCGGGATGGGAAAAAGAGAAACGGATGGAAAAGAAAAAGTGGAGATGCCAGCAGCAGCATGTTTTCGCTTATCCGCTCTGCCGTAGGTAGTAGATTAGGCGACACTTTTATAACTGCACGACAGTCGATGGAAGGTGTGGTTGAATTTTAATGGAATAGTCATGGTTGTACATGGGGTGAGACATTCCCGAAACCCCCAGACCTAGACAGGAGGACGATTAGGGTGCTCAACTAAAGGCTTTGACTCTAAAGCCTGTCAACAAGGCAGCTGAGAGGTGGCAATGATTTAGTTTTACAGCAATAGGCGCCATCCCATTTCAAACCCCCAATCTGGAAGACCAGGGGACTGAGTTTGTCCGACCTCTAACCACTGACCAATCTGGTAGGAGTAGCTCTCAAGGGGTTTCGGGTCGAAAAGTTACACGCGCCGTCGCACGCCGTTATGGTCCAGTCTCGTTACGGCAGGCAACTGAGAATAGAAAATAACAAATCTCTCCATGACAATACAGAGGGCGGTGCAAATAAAACACGGTGCAGAAGAGATGTCATGGTATGCACACGAAATCGGATTCCGTAATGGAACAGGCACTATCCATTCCCACCAAGTGGGACTCATGGTTCGGTAGTGCAAACGCTCTTTGCCGCTTAGGTAATAGAGGGCTAGATTCCCGGGTACGTCTAAGATGTACTATGCTATGCGGCTTCGTTTTGCTAACAAGGCAGGGCGATAGGCAAAAAATGTGTGCGAGTAGTGTGCATTGAGGGGCTGGGTAGGTAGAGGGTTAGAAATTGATGTATACGAACTTGACACATTCCCGCAAAACCGTCTACAAACTCGAGGCAAAACCAGCGGACATTTAATGGTCACTACTTGGTTTACGGTGAGAAGAGACGATATCGAGTCCACTGTCGAAGTTACTGTCTTGTGGTACTAACTGAAGGTTGAAAGAGAGTAAGTCACTAACAATACACCGACATACTGTGCCGACGCTTTGATGCCACGCGACCACCCACAGTCACGTTTCGGCTGGGGAAACTTCTAGGTCGCCCGCACCTAGGCAGATTCGAAACGGTGACCTTTGGAGTACGAATCAAATGCCTCATTCTTTCGGCTACGGGCCGATGGAGCTGGTGCTTATGGGCGCAGAGGCGCTATCGGTGATGCAAGATGTAAACGGCCCAAGCCGGTATATTGTGTCCGAGGAGAGTATGCAGCGTTCGTGTAGATCGTGAGGAATACGTGCCCAAATAATGTGAATAAGTTCGGAAACGAACGCGCCTTCCTGTCGAATGTGTTCCAGATTCTTATAAGACGCGGGTGTCATATGGCTCTCAGGGGCCAAATTGGTAAGCCAATTAAGATGCTTTCAACAGGGATCTTACAAACAAAAAGTGAAGCGCGCGTAATTTGAGTTGAGACCATAGAACTCGAGTAGGTTTTGCCAATAGACTGTTGAAAGACCGCTGAATGAGGATCGAGTGTAGACTCGGATCATTGCTGACTATGTCCGGTATTTAGTGTTAGTTCCGGATCACCTGCAATGTGTTGCAGCTGCGATACAATCGCAGTTTAGGGTGTGATTTCCTTTGAAGTTAATGAGAAATATGCCGAATATTGGAATCACGTGCGAGGGGAAATAGTTTACGTTTGCTCGTATTCAACACAGCATATGTACATGGGATGCGTGATTGCAAAGTCTACGAATCGGTTGGACGACAGGCGATTTGGTTTGGGGAACCGGGTCAGAACCACCTGTTGCCGCTCCTGTTTGGTAGATGATGCGCATATAAAAATGGAATTGCAATGTGGTTTCCATCTCAGTTGCATGGAGCAGACGAGCTACAAGATTGAAAAAGTGTGTTTAACGTGTGTGGAAAAAGCTGTTCGTAATTAGCGGAGGGTAGTTCAAAAGTGAAACCATTAGAGTTGTGGTAATAAGATCTTGCATATCTCGGGCATTAGAAATATGCAATTCGCCTCAGTTTGCTTTTGAGAGGCCGCAGCGAGCGAGGCTGCAGAAGTTAATTCCTTGCGGTAGGCGTAGTTGAAACTGTGGTCGAAGAAGTCGTACTGTGGGGCTTTGATGTGCTTACGGAGAACGAGTTGTATAGGTAGTGGAGAAACGGACTTTCCTGAGACTCCCAGGTGTTTGTCACGCAAAATGTGCTACACCGCCTGCCTAAAACATCAAACTTTACACCCTCAAAGGACAGGAGCGCGTAAAGCAGATGACAATGAGGAATAGATGATATCGAGGTATCAGCAAGGATGCATCAAAAGTTTTTACTAGCATTTAGCTGCCGTACGACCTCAAACGGAATCAAATGAAACGTACACATGATCGTTAGGGAAGCATTTACCTCCGCTGACTCAAAGAACCGCCAATTGCGCTCGTGTTTTGAAAATTTTCTGGATTTACTGACAAACAATCTGGGCAGGGATTGCGGCTGCAGCTGGTAGACGCAGGGTACACACACCGAGTGGAGCGAAGTTCGTCGAATGGAGTCCGCGATATCGAGTAAAACGGGTAAGCTGGTGATTGCACTTTGGATGTGTCAGATGTCGTTTCATTCGGCGTATTGCCACGAGTGAGGTTATCATGACTGAGCTCGGCAACCGATTCTAATATGGTAGATGTAATGTGATCTTTGAAACTTGAAGCAAAGGATTTTTCTTTCGAATCAAACATTTCGTGTGGACTCGGCTTATTTTCTGTCGGAGTGTACACCAAAGATGGATCCGTGTCTAGCATAAGATCCGCCGAAGTTAAACTCACTGTGCTCGCAGAGAAAGGTTGCCTGAATCGACGCGTGTAAGAGGTTGATGAATGCAACTGACGCGGCGAATTCGGCACGTCACCGAACGCAGTGACTGGATTCAGGCTGAGTGGTTTTCCGGAAACAGGTGTCTCGAAGTCTGGTTGCAACGGTGCAAACAGTGTGTTTGATGACTGTGTGGAAATTGATCGCAGGTCGCCCTCGTGAGCGTCCACGGTGTGACAAACTGAGGATATGTTTGACCGCATTGATGATTCCTCTAAAACGAGGTGGTAAAAGGGAAGATAAAATGTTTTTCTTTCTAAACAGTCAGTTTATCACAACAACATGCAAACAAAACAATAAGAAGGATGAAAGTAAGAGTAATGGGGACGGCGTTACGTTCGCACGCCAACAGTTCGAACAGTAGTGGCCTGGAGTTCATCACCATCGAGGCAAAAAAAGTCGCATAAGCCGATCATTTTCAGTCCAAATGAGAGATCTAAGCAAATCCTAGCAGCGTTGGGAGCAAGCATATATATATATATATATATATATATATATATATATATATACTATGAGCAATCTATAAGATAGGCATACAGCCAGCGAAAACCATGAAATGGAAGTTATTAGTGCGGAAACCACAGAGAAGTGGAAAAGGATGAACCTTAATAAAGCTATTTTGTTTTTCAATCTAGTTTGTTTTTTTCACAAGCCATTTTATCTTCTTTATCTGTTTAATGTTTGCGATGTTAATGAAAAAACAAGACAATCAAACACATTTCCCATTGGGCCCGGTTCTGTGCCATCTCCGAAAGAATTTCCAGCCAGTGGTCCCAGTGGTCGGAGTAGCAGTGTTTTACTACAAATTAAATAGTGCTTCAAACTGGGACTGTATGGCAAATACATTCCACCCTTCATCATGGTAGGACGACATTCGATAACCGTCATCTGAATGTCATTGTACAGTGGGGTAGGTTTCCTAAACCATTTGTGACAATGTAAAGGGATGATAAGTAACAAATGAAATGTGTTAGTAGAACGCGGGTCGAAAAAGACGGTGGGATTCTCGAGATGAAGGGGGCTATTCGCTAGCTAAAACAGTGAACCCGGAGAGCAACGGGCATCCAATTGGTACCGAGGAGACTATACGAAATGCTTTCATCTACTAGCTATCGTTTGTAACTAGTTTTCAATTTGCTGTATAGAACGAATTGATTTAAATATCTATTCAGTTTATTCATGGTTAAACCTCGCCTCACCAGCCTCAGTTCGGTGAAAACTACGGCCTTAAATTGGTCAGCATCTAGCGAGGGTTCTTTACATAGAGTGCGCGGTAGCGCTTTAAGGATCTACTTTGCGAAACTCAAAATGGAAAATTCTTCCCTATGTAGGCGGAAAATCAAACGATTGTAGTGCGCGCCGTACATATTGCTGTTAAGAAGGTTTGGAGTGGTTATTCGAGATGATACAGCTCAACACATATGTAAGTTACCTATACTTCCTATGTGTGGATTCTAAAGTAAAGAGAAACAAGCCCTTTGTGCATAGTGACCGGCTACATAATTAAAAGGTAGGTATGCATAGATGAATCACATTGGCTAAGAATTCTGCGCACCAGAATCAAAATTTATAAACAAAACCAAGACGCACGATGCTGCCTCTCACATACAAAACATAGGGAATCGTCCTTCAAAACACATGTTGGTGTTATGATAGATCGAAGTTAAAGCGGTGCGATGAACTGCCGGTTACATCCAAAGCATCATTTTCTTGCGCTTGGCCACCATAGACTGGAAGATTTCTATTCAATCGGCACACCTATTTAACAATACAGCGGTAAGCGATACTTCCCCTTTCGGTTCCAACGGCCTGATCTGTTGATTCTCACACATGTCGTGGAGATAAAGATTTTTAGGCAAACTACGGTATTTGGCACGTTGAAAAATTCGGCTTCCAAATTCTCCAAGGCAATCGCAACAGTGTGGCTGACATTTAATCGGTTTTAGTGGAGGATACCCCAATTCGCTAAAAAATATTTGTACAGCGAGCATACACCGGCAATAAAGTTACAGAAGTTTTCACTTTGTGATCTATCGCAAAAGGAGAACCATTTCGTATGACATGGCGACTAAAGGCAAACGATTTTTTATTATATTCAGGAGTGATGGCCAAGTTTATGATACACGCAATGACTTCGCACACCATTGGTTCCACCGATAAGTCTACATCCTCCCGTTGACGCAGGTGGTTGAGAAGTCATGCCAGTATTGTCAAGTGATGTGAACGTAAAGGACGACACAACCGTCGACATATAGTGGGAAGCCAGAGATTAAACTAAGGAGTAAATGTGTAATCCCAAGTTCAGAAGAACCACGCACGAGTGGTTCAAGTGCTAAAGTCGAATCACACAGAGATAGGGCCAAATTCCAAAAAGGATAAATCGCCCGCATACTTCACGTGTTACTCAGTAGAACTGCAAAGGCAAACTGAGGCAAATAGTTCGGAATCATCAATGAGCACTGGGATAACAGAGTTAATGAGTAAAAATGAAGAAAGTGCCTCCTCAACTGAGACATTATTGGTGCTGTTTGCGTACAACACCGAAGTTTGCTAACTTTCGCATCCCCTTGTGAACACCTTAGGCTGTATTAATAGGAACTTCGAACGGAAACCTGGATAGCTTGAATAGTTCTGGTGGGCACCACATGCTGCCATGTAGATCTCATGAGTGGAAGGGGAGCACGAAAACTCTCCTTTCGCGAATATGTGGCGCGGCAAGTAGAATTGTTCACATGAATCAAACATAAGCGTTACATCGAGACAATTGCGGTGAGTCACTCGAACAGATAGGGTGTACAGCGAGAAATTCACTATTTAACAGTCATTAGTCAATTGATCACAGTGGTTAAATGCAGAAGACGCTATCGAGGTGCTCACCATTGCGTAGAGGACATGAAAAGGCGATCAGCAATACATCGCCACGTCAGAACAGCGTTTCGCTGCCACGCGACCAACACTGGACGCATGCGCATTGGATTATGGTGAGGTCGTCCACGCCAAGGCGATTTTGAACGGGTGACTCGGGGTAAGGAGTCCGACACCTGAACCATTGCGCTACCAGGCCAAGGACAAAGTCAACCGCGAACTGATATTAACAACCACTCAGATCAATGAGGTCCTCCTCTGAATATGTTTGTGAAGGAGAAGAAATAATCTAAACTCATAAGGCCGCACCAATTGTAACTTGTGATAAATTCAGTGGGCCTGTGCATGGATCGGCCAACACGGTCAGTCTAAAATTTTTCTTCAGGTGTACTCTAGACGATTTGTAGTTATTACAAAGCCGACCGCCGCATTATACTGTTTCAGACTTGGACCACCTGCTTTCCATGGCACAAGTTGCAGTAGCTTCAGTCTCATAGCAAGATAATACGGTTGAATCACGTTACGCGACGTAGCGCCTTAGCCTCGTATCCATTGGTCAGCACGTAGCTTTGACATCATTAAACGTCCATTCAAGTTGCTGTAAACGGGTGTTCAGCCTCACCGCTTGCATTCATTACTCAGCCTGTAATCGCTCACTTCTCCTAGCAAGTTAGGATGACTGAATCACAATGCACGATGCGACGCCTTAGCCTCGTATATACTGACGCTCACCAACCCTTTATCCGCTACAACGCCTTCGAGTCATCGCAGTAATTGGGCGTTCAGCCCCACCTCTTGCTTTCCATTACTCTGTCTGAAGTAGGCTTCTTCTAGCTAGTTAGAACGACTTAATCACCCTGCGGGACTCCCCGCGTCTTAGTCTCGTATTTACTGGTTTTACGTACGGTTTGTTTCATGAATCCCTATTTCATTTTGTTGTAAACAGGCGATCAGCCCCATCTCACAACTCTTTGCGTGTTCCCGTTCCTTATCCCTTTGTAAGAACTGGTACATATAACTATATGGCAACACATTTACATAGTGCACAAGGATGAAACGCGTAATGCTTTGCTGCATGTCGTGCACTTTTCCATTTGCGTTTCCACTGCATTTCTGTCTGGCTGCCTGTTTCCTGTTGCCCACCTATGCGAGTTTTGTTAGAGACATATTGGATGATTCCTGAGGAACCTTGTAATAACACTGGATGATCCATAATCAGTGATGCCGATCCTCAACCCAATGAGGCTCAAACGGGTCCCTTAACTAGATATGGATAAAAATTCAATGCGGCCATGGGAAATCCGACTCCGTTGTACACGACGAGTGACTGCGAATAACTGCGCAAGCAATAGGTTAGAGAGCAAATCAAGGTGAGTGACGGAAACACAATTTGACCAGCGAAACAACATTCGTGTCAATAGTTCAATAGAGTATGATGGGATAAAAAGCATTGGCTTTACAAGACCCATAGGATGGTAAATGAAAAATAGATAAAAATCATTAGATTCCCACATGGAACTGAAATGCCAATAGTCTAAACCTAGTACATCACACCACAATGTGTTGTTTGTCACTCAGATGAATGTCTAACAATTGTTTGAAGGCTGTAATGTTCGGAGCGTTTACCACATGCGTTGGCAAGTCATTCCATTGTGAACAGATTCTAAGAGAGTAAAAATATTTTCTACAGTCTAATCGAGAGTGTTGGATTATCAGCTTGAGGTTATGACCTCTCGATCGCTTATATGAGGCTAGGGTGAGCAGCGATTTGCACGGGTGATCGCTTTCCGTTAATATCCGGTATGCGAGAATGAGATCTCCGCGCAGTCGTCGGTATTCGAAGGAAAACATTCCGATTAAACTGAGACGCACTTCATAATTGAGACCAGATAATCCGCGTGTTGCCTTGGTAGCTCTTCGTTGGGGCTGCTCTAAAAGATGAATGTCCCGTTTTAACCATGGGCACCAAGCCTGGACGGCATATTCGACGTGGGGACGGATATAGGAGTTGACAAGCATGGGTACCAACCGTCGTTCAAAAACACCAAAAGCTCGCCTCAAAAGTCTCAGGTTCATGTTCGCCACGTTCGCTGCTTTGGAACATTGGGGCGAATTCCCCAGACTTTCTTGCACAATGATACCTAAGTCTTTTTCGGTGGTCACGCGCCGTAAAACGTACTGCCCCAAGAGGTACGTGTTGGCAAGATTGCTGCGCAATGACAGTAGGTGACACTTAGCAGGATTCAGGGGGAGGTGATTTATTTCTGCCCATTTGTTGATTCTATCCAAATCATTCTGGAGGAGGGCACAGTCTGATGTTGAGCGAATAACTCTCCAGATTTTTGCGTCATCTGCAAAAATTTGCATCGAGGATTGAATGTTATCCGGGAGGTCGTTAATGTAGACCAGAAAAAGGAGGGGACCAAGGACGGATCATTGAGGAACACCGCTGGAGATGCAGAGGGTTTCCGAGAGGGCATCAGCGACTCTGACCCTGATCGTTCTGTCATGCAAATATGCTGCTAGTCAGGTGAGTAGGGAACCATGGATACCGTAGGCACGAAGCTTATGAAGCAGAGTTAAGTGATTGACTCTGTCAAATGCCTTCGAAAAGTCTAGGTAAATCACATCAAGGGGGGATCCTTCATCAAGCGCTTTGGTCCATGAATCCCGAGCAAGAAGCAGATTTGTGAGGCAAGATCGTTTGTGCCTAAAGCCGTGTTGGAGGTGCGAAATTAGCTTCAGACTCTCAAAATATCGTGTAATTTCATCTGCAACTAACGATTCCATTACTTTTGATAAAACAGGGAGGAGAGTAATGGGTCGGTAGTTGGCAGGATCCGATCGCTTACCTCCTTTGTATATCGGAGTGACTATCCCGCTTTTCCACTCAGACGGAAGTGTTTGGGAATTGAGTAGACTTTGGAAAAAGCTTGCGAGGTGTGCTGCTATGGTGGGAGCAAGAGTTTTAAGAACTTTGGGTCTGATCTTGTCGACTAACGGAGCGCTATTTTCTCTCAGAGACCGTAATTTGCTAGCGACAGCTGCTGAGGTAAAAGTGACAGTTGATATGCCGACCACGTTGGGTGAATGCTGGTTTGGCAAAGGTTCTATGGCGTTTGCAGTCACTGTGCCAAACTGCAGAAGTAATGTGTTCGCAGCATCCACAGCAGTAGTCGTTAGGCCACCATCTGTCTTGAGTGGTGTCTATCGACACCTACGCACTCGCTAAACAGGTTTCTATCTAATATGGAAACAACTTGGAAATTATGAATCTACTCCCTTACTTTGCTCATACTAATTTTTGATCAAATTGTAATCGTTGCACGTTTGCCTGTACATAACTGATCATGCTTCCAATGGTGTGTCTCATGTAACATCCAGCAGGTATGTTATATATTTATTTTTTAATTATCAAAAATTAACCCGAACCACTTTTCGACTGTCCCAAACTACACAGTAAAGCGAGTCAAGCGTCTCGTGCAAGGAGATCAGAGTCGGATGCTTTCAGCTTCCAGCTGGTAAGGCCCATATAGGAGAAATCGAAAGTACACTGAGTTCTTTTGATTGACATGTGTGTTTGTGCCTTCCGTTGTCGGTTATCGCTATTACAATCATACCGATGCTGGAGACAGAATCCAGTGAAAATGCATATATGGAGCAAAGATTAAAGAGCCGAGATGGTAAAAGTATCTGAACTGAAGACAACACCATGGAACTGGTCAGTGGAGCCTGATAAACTAGCCCAAAGAGACGCTCGCACATTCTGGAATGTGATCACAAAGACGGTGAACCTTCTCCGAGTTCGGTATGATAAGTAGATGTAGAACACAGGTAAGTTTTCAGTATCTCCTGCAAACATTAAAAGTGACGTGTTTAAATGTACTAACCCTGGGAGTGAGAAGAATATATCAGCTGGCCAACGGACAAAGCGATTCGATAAATGAAACGAAGTAGGTTACCGAAAATGCAAGCGCAAACAAAACGTAAAACAGGTTTGCGCGGATTCAGCCTCGGAGAAATAAGCTCGGATACTGCAACTGCACATTTGTCATTTGATGTGAGAAAAAATGCGATACCAATCAAAATGAGGCTTCGCAAACCATTTGTGTAGATACCCTGGTAACAATTCTTTCATCCACGATGGGACATCAGTATGATATGGTGGAGCAAAATTGTCACAACCATAATAGCCTTGCTAATGAAAAAATAGGAGAAAAGAAATCAATTGCATACACCAACCGGACTGGCCCTCGCAATAGCTACAGATGGAATGGTCCTTATTTCATCTCGATCTCAAAGTCACGGAAAAGCAAATGAAACAATGTAAAAACGACAAAGCGAGTGAAAAAGACCGTAAAATGCAAATAACGAATTCTTGCATAAAGGAAGTCGCGCACATATCATCTGAGGTTGTTTCATCGCTGACGACATCTGCGCTCATGCAGCTCATTTTGTGTGCATAGCATGTGCTTAGAAGCGGTCTCAATCCATTCAAGGAAGCCAAGACGAACAAACGTCTCCTGCGATGCGGGAGAAAGGAATATCTTCCCCGACTGTCAAAGGGCTCAACCAAGCTGAATGGCTAAACTGACACGGGAAGTTTTTCTTCCTATTCTCTAGGCTGAAGGGTACCATCGTTCCTGAACTGACAGCAAGTCATTGAAGAATTCGCAATTACTTCAAGCCAAAAGAACACAACTGCGGTCAACGCCTGTCGGTAGTCTGCCAAAGTAAAACTGAAGTGGACATGCAGTTGTTTGAGATCAGTTAGTTGGACTATCATAAAACTTCCGATTATACGAATCGGTACATTCATCTTCATAGGTTTCAAGGCTGTGGTATCCTAGCGTAGTGGCTTCGAATATAAACAAGAGGCGCATAGTAAGATCCCCGGCAAGGCAAATGAGGCGTACTATATGGTTAACGTTGGGGCCATACCAGTTCTATCTATGGATAAGCGGCAGTAAACACATTATCTAAATAATGTCATTGAGTGCAGTACACACTGAGTTACGGCGAGTGATCACCAGCAAGCGCAAAAAAGATCCTGAAGTGTCTTGAAGGGGTTTATAAGCACAAAGCTCAATATTTTAGGTGAACAAATGCTAAGTATACAGTAAAAATTCACCGGTGACCTGATGTGTTTGAGGCCGGGATCCAAATATTTCAAAACTACTATTGAGGGAACGATCGGCGTGGTGTGCGTTTGCCCGAAAATGTCTAAATAGGTAAAGAAAGCGTTAAACTAACATTTGTGTTCTGTGGAAGTCACTCGCTTGTCCAGGTGCGTGTACAAGTGTAGCTTAGACACCACTACACCAACGGAATGCAGACGGCGAACATAATTCGCCAGCACACCTGACAGTGAAGTAGAAAGCTTATATATAGATGTCGGCCACAAACCAAAGATAAGAACTTAAAATTCTGTACCACATTCAATATCATGGGAGTTGTTGTGCTAATTAAGCTGAGCGAAATAATCACCATTATCAATACACGTTGGCTGAGGGCGAGATAAACGCGTCAGCTAATGTGCAGATATAAGAGAGATAAGAAACTAAAAAGATTACTAAAGGATTAAAACATAGTTATACAATGTTAAATATCATATAATTCACTAGTAATGAGATCGTGATTGGAGGGGGAATTTAAAGGAGAGGTGGATGGACAAAGAAACAGCACAAACGCCATTGGGGCCGGTTCCTAACTATGTCAGCTAGTGTGTCCAACCAAACTTTTTCATCGTCCTTAGGGCCCCAGTCAGTCAGTCAGGATGCACCAACCGACGCCTACTTCGAGGTAAGGGTTTTCATTTCCTTCGATCAAGTTGTCGCTGGGCCTCCCCTCCTCCTATTCCAAACGCATGCTCGGCGCGCAAACATTGCACGTCGTATGATTCGGCGGGCTGGCATGCGCAACACGTGGCCCAGTCACCGGAGTGTGTTGCGTGATATAATGGTCTTGAGCGGTTCACTCGTCCTTCTTGCACTAAATACACGACGCCGAACACATTTCTCATGCGGTGCTCCCACCAGACATGAGCTAAGCTGCGATGGTAGAACGCAGCTAGCCTCTTTATGTCTGTCGACCTGATGCGCCAGGTTTCACTACCGTATAGGAGGGTCGAACAGACGGCCGAATTGTAAGCGCTGCTCTTCAGGGCAAGAGTGATGTTGCATCGGCGCCACAGGTGGTAGAGATTGGCAAAAGCACCTCGAGCTTTTGCTATACTGTTCATAACCTCATCTTCTATCACACGGGGGCTATGTAGCCTTCCAGGTACTTGAATTTCTGAATGACTTTTAGCTGATCCCCACCGAAGGGCAGAGCAGGAGTGGACCCCTGCCAATCTTGGAGAAAAACTTTGCATTTCGAGGAATAAAGGCATAGCCCAAAACAAATGACAGCGAATGGTAATTTGTCCAGTGCTGCTTGGCACGTATGAGCACTGTCACGTGGGAGCGCAATGTTGCTAGCACATTCCAAGCCAAAAGTCGCTCAAAGGACGCACCTGAACACTTTGGAAGTCATGTCCAACGAACGCTAATTCCATGACTTCGTCAATAGCAAAGTCAAGGGGAAGAAAACGTAAAAAACAAAAAAGCAACAGTGAGTAAAGTCAGAAGGGAGTTTTGTGAGAGGGTGATAATTCTTAGTGGTCGACCCTGATGGTAACTTCCATCCTGTGAAGCAAACGCCCGACCTACGAGAAATGAGACAAATCGAGCTAAGGAGTACGCCCGAAGGCAATTCGGTAATTGATCAAGAAGTTCGTGTACAAAGATTTTCGGATATGACATGATAAACCAAACAGTAATAAACACGACTGAACTCAGCAGAAGAACGATCTAAATTCGTCAGGCCGAAAAGCAATTCTCCATTTAACGGTTGTTGGGTCGAAACCTACCTAGGGAGCTCGCCTGCGTATTTCGATGAGTAGACTCGAAAAAGGAAGTGGCCAACCGCCGCCCGTAAGGTAAATTTCGTTCGTGAGGCCGCACAAACGAAATGCGTGCCACACCTCTAACTGCAGAGGGGAAGGACGATTGTTGAGTGACGTGCGTCCCGAGTGTACTAGTTTTCGGATGATCCTGTGAAGAGCGGTTGTAGGGGTCCAACCCAGATGACGAATAGGGTGAATAGTTAGGAAGTTGAACTTGCCATAACAGTGGAGATGGATAGGGCAGGGGTTGAGTTGGGGAGACGGTAGGGTGGATGGGAGTTGGCAAGATTTGTGGTGGAGATGGAGGTGAAGTCCAAAGACGAGTGGAGGATGCAGATGATGTGTTCGATCCGGGTGCTGCAATGCAGTGAGATAGTGTACAAAAGGGTCAATTATGAAGCGAGACCATTTAATAACGAACAACTATAAACGCATGCAACAGTGTCCCCATACTGTTACTCGATTAACGGAGTCAGTGTGCAACACTTGCTAACATCCTGATTAGAGTACGAACGAGATGAAAAGACAGTGAAGAGCTAATAAAAGAGCATACCACAATACGGGGACTAGTCATGATATGCAATTAAGACCAGGTTACATAAGGACAGTTCACAAATGTTAGACACTTTCTAGTTTATCTCGCTCATCAAAGCTGTTAGACTTAACGCGCTCACTTTTCACGGTGAGTAACTACTCGTGCGCAGATGGCGACTCACTTTGTTAAATAGACACAACCCCTCACATACATATAATGGCACTTGAGTGTAACACTCCCAAAGTCAGTAATTCAACTATAATCCGGATACCGTAGAGTACTGGATGCTAGTAAGCTGACACACATCACCAGGACCATAAAAAGAATAGGAGAGAAGCGAAGAGGAATGCGAATTAGTATGCAAATGGAAAATGGGCCAGCAGGTAATCCATGAGTAGCCAGGTTAGCGAATGAAGAACAACTATCTGAACGGAGTTATCAACAAGTTAGTCTACTACGGACGGTACGTGGACGATATCATTTTGCATCTCAAATAGTCATCCCTGCATGGAAGAACTAGTGAAGCAAGTTAACTCAGCCCAGACCGACATAAAATTCCTCCTCAATGTCGTTTTGATTAGCCGAAGATCTGACGGGTCTATCTAGCGCAATGTCCATAGACAAACAAAGTGGAACGGGCAATATACTCACTTTGCCAGCTACGTTTCACTCAAGCAGAAACGAAGACTTGTTCTGTGCCTAACCGAGCGAGCAAGAAGGATATGTAGCGAGGACATGCTACCGAACGAGGTAGCCATTGTACGAAGCCTATTGGGCTATCCGGAGTTCGTTCTGAGAAACATGGAGCCTTGAGATGCAAAAGCAAAAGTGGTTTCAGAAGGAAAGAAACCGACCCACTTATCGTTACCGTTCGAGTGAGACGAGATTGCTGAGTCAACGTCTAGAAGGGTTTCTGACGCCATCGTTCGAACCTACTATGCTGCAAGCCTACGACTAAGCAACAGCTCAATGCTGACACTGAATGGAAAACTTAAGGGACAGAATTTCAAGGTCAAGTACTTCCTTCTGTGTGTAATCTTTCTCTTGCTCCTGTCGATTAAGATATATCAGAAGAAGCATCAGGAGACTGTCCAAGAGAGCCAGTCATAGAGTCCAGCCTGGCTGTATAGCGGCGTGAGTAGCTCAGTGGCAAGCGCACTGTCTACACACCTGGTCGATAAGAACCACCAGGTCAGAGGGCATGAGGCAATCCAGCCCATCTACCGCGTACCCAGATGTCATGCCAGAGCGGTTAGATGTCGTCTAGTGGCATCGGCCGAGGCAATCGCCACTAGACCTCATAACCCTGACCTAAGTGCGCACAAGAAATTGGTCCTGGCACTCACTGTACCCTGGTCACCTGTAACACTGACATACAGTGTGGACAACCCACACCACAATACACACAAACACGCTATTGATCTCCGTGAGGCCAACCAACTAGCATGGTCAATCAGACCATCGGTGTATTGAACCTGTATGTTTACATGATGGTTACCTACATGTCATTCATTTATGGAGCAGTAGCCAAATGTAGGACCACCGAAAAACGAGTTCGTTCGTTAACATTTGTTCCTATGTCTACTCCCTGAATATTCACCCATACAGGGTGCATAAAGCAATCACAGGACTTGGCTTGACTTATCAGATAAGATTACAAACGAAAAAGCGTCAGTGACACCGCACCTGTGCCATATGGTTGGCAGCATCCGGTTCCAGATTTGTCTGTCACCGTGGCCAGCCTGCGCTTACAGAGGGACCATGGGTGGCCTGCGCTGCACCACCCACAGCTCCATCCACACACCCCATATCCAGTGTAAACCCAAAGGAATAAGACCGGGAGGCATGTGGATGGGAGCCACGTTTCATTAACGGAGCCGGCCCACACTCCTTCACGGGCAAACACAAGCACACTGTATTTGGGGAATCAAGCGCACACAAGGCGGTGGCTGGACCGTAGTCCGCTCCACATACAACCCATGTGCATTGAACCACTGTTTGAGCCTAAGACGGCCACGAGGACTGCGTACCCGGTCGATTCCAGCAACGACCAACAGTCTCCTGAAGCCAGTAGGGGTGAGGTGGTGGATAATAGAGAGGTACGCACCTTGTCAACATGCATATCAAGCTCAACCACAACGGGGATGTCAAGCAACAGGCAATCACTTGGAATGACGAAATCAAAGAAAATGAATCGGATAAGGCATATGGATATGCCTCTTAGCTAAATGAGCATGTGAAATAAATGGCTTATCAACAGATCCGCGATAAACCCAAGATGTCAGAAAAGGAAATCAAAAAAGACATTTGCAACAAACACGAATAGAAGTAAAGAAAGGACGTGTGCAATTAAATCGATTATTCAGATAACGTTGAAATAGGTAACAAAGTGTTAACAAAATATAGCAAACCCATCACCTGAAATGAAAAAAAACAGTACCCAAGCACACCGTTAGTAAATCGAATGCAGCGTACCAACCAACGCTGCGCCGATTCTGCAGCAGGACTCGTTGTCGCTTCGATGCTGGTCCTGAGTGGCCTCGCTCGTGGCTCACTAGGCCTGCATGACTCATGCACTCGCGGCATGCGATTGACATCGATGGTGCACAGCCCGTCGGCGCCTGTCGCTTCCTCACCTGTCGTTTCCTCTCCGCATGCAGTGGGTTTTCTTTTGCACATCGGTAACTGCATTCGTGATCAGATCGCGCCATGAACACCGAGCAACAAACATCGATTCCCATGCCCTGCAATCAAAATTACAACGTGATAGGATCACTTTGGTCTTGTCCTGGTACCGTAACTTCGGTTTTCCCCACGTGTCGCTTCCCTGCACACAGTTGGTCATTAAGTAGCTGTTTCGGAATAGGAGTCGAATCCATGCGACGAATATGCCCGAGCCACCTCAAGTGGCTCAGCAGAATTATCCATCATCATCATTATACACGTTAGCTCCTGTTGAAAAATACCTCAACTACTGTGCCGCAATACCAGACAAGAAGAAAAAAGGTACAACAGCGGCACGCCGACTGAGTCCTCACTAACGGATGGACATCGTTCCGGAGAGTTAACAACCGGCTATCGTACCGTAAAATGAGAGTTATATACCTAGCGAATAAGATCGTGACTGGAGGGGGGAATCTAAAGGAGAGGTGGATGGACACAGAAACACAGCACAAAGGCTAATGGGGCCGGCTCCTAGCCATATCAGCAACTGTGTCCAACTAAATGTGTTCATCGTCCTTAGGACCCCAGCCAGGCAGTCGGGATGCACCAACCGACGCCTACTTCGAAGTAAGGGTTTTCATTTCCCTCGACCAAGTCATCGCTTGGCTTCCTCTCCTCGTCTTCCAACCGCACCCACGGCGCGCAAACAATACACGTCGCGAAACTCGGTGTGCCGGCATGCGCAACACGTGGCCCAGCCATCGGAGCCTAGTGCGTGATATAATGGTGCTGAGCGGTTCACTCGCTCTTCCTGCATCAAATACGAGATGCCGAACACGCTCATTGCTCACGCGGTGCTCCCACCAGACATGAGCTAAGCTGCGAAGGCAGCGATGATCGAATGTGACGAGCTCCTTTATGTCTGTCGACCTAACGGACAGGTTACACAACCATACAGGAGAGATGAACTGACGGCTTGACTGTAAATTCTGCCCTTCAGAGCGAAAGTAATGTCGCGTCTGCGCCACAGCTGGCAGAGACTGACAAAAGCACCTCGAGCTTTTGCTATACGGTTCGTGACCTCATCTTCGATCCTACGGGCACTAATATAGCTGCCCAGATAGTTGAAATCCTGAACGACTTCTAGCTGATCACCACAACGCGTTAGAGCAAGGGTGGGTCCGTGCCAATCTTGGAGAAGTACTTTGTATTCCGATGGAGCAAAGCATAGCCCAAAACGATTGACAGCCAGTACTAATCGGCCCAGCGCTGCTTGACATGTTTGGGAGCTGTCACAGATTAGGACAATGTTGACCGCGTACTCCAAGTCAAGAAGTCGCTCACCAGGAAGTAGCTCCACACCTTCTAGGTCGAGTCCAACGAACGCCGTTTCCATGACTTTGTCAACTGGGAAGTCAAAGAGGAAAGGTGACAGTGGGCAAGCTTGTCTCACACCACTGGTGATACTGAAGGGTGTTAACAGTCTTGCCATAAATCCTCACTGTGCCCGAATTTTGTGCGTACAACACTTTGATAATATTTACATATTTATCAGGCACACCTTTCCTCAGCAGACAGTCCCAAAGAGCAAGTGGATCGATTGAGTCGAAGGCAATTTTGTGTTAAGAAACACAACAACGGTGGGTCACCAATAAACACGACGGTGTTCCAACAATCGACGCAAGGTGTGGTCGATGCATCCCCCACCTCGACGAAACCCAGCTTGCACTTCAGGAATCTGGATTTCACGAGTGCCAGTCAGTCTGTGGAGAATGACAGACGCAAGTAATTTAGAGGTAACTGGGATCAGACTGGTCCCTCCATAATTGTCGCACTCCGAACCTTCCTTGAAAATTGGGACTGTGAAGGAGCAGCTCCAGTCTGTCGGGACAGTCTGCTGCTCCCAAAGTTTCACTAGCAACCCGTGTAAATCATCTAATAGAGCAGGTCCCCCGAATTTGAAGAGGGTTGAGGGAATTCTATCTGACCTCGCGGCCTTATGCAATTTCAACAGCCTGATTCGACTTCTGCGAGTGAGGTGGATCCAAGGGACGGTCAAGGGAGAAGGGCGCGCAATGCCCGAAAGAGAAAGCGATAACTCCGATTGGTTTAACTGCCTTGCAAAGTGTTTGGCACAACGCTCTAAGCGTTTTGACAA